CCTATTTTTTGCCTTACTTCTTCCACCAAGTTCCATCTTGAACTCCATGATCTCATGGTCGCTGCATCCCAAGCTGCCCTCAATCTTCACATCCCTAACAAACCCATCTGCTTATAAGAACAAGGTCCAGAAACACCCCCGCCTTGTCAGCTCCTCCACCAACTGCATCAGAAAATTATCTCTAATGCATTGTTTGTCCGTTTGGACTGCACCTGCCTGGCTGAGTTGCTTTCCCAACAGATGTCCAGATGATTAAAAGCCCCATGAGAACCAGCGTCCAGGATCGTGAGGCTACTTCCAGCTGCTTGTAGAAGGCTTCATCGACCTCCTCCTCCTGATCTGCTGAGCTGCAGCACACCCCCACAGCAGCGTCCCCCATACCAGCTGGCCCCTTAAGCTCTCCACTCCTTCTTTGCCTTCTCCCAGGTGGAGCTGGGTACATTCTAATTGCTCTCTCACATAGAATTTCACTTATCTTATAGTTCCTGTGAGTGGCAGCTTGATTAATCCTGGCTCCCAGAAGGATCCTGGGTGTTCCTCTGCTGGTGCATCACAAACTGGGGCAGGAGGCAGCCACGGACCCTGCTGGGCCCGCAGGGCAGGAGCAGTGGAGGAAGCGTGGTTGAACTCTGCTGGGTTTTACACGGGGTTTTACCCAGCTGGGCAGCCGAGCTCCACCTCAGCCGCTCTCTCACTGCCCCTCCTCAAAGCAGAGAAAATAAAATGCAAAGGGCTCAAGGGGTGAGATAAGGATGGGGAGATCACCCAACAGTTATCACGGGGAAAACAGACCCCGCAGAGGGAGATTAGTAACATGTAACACCTCTTAGTAACCAGATGGAGCTGTGAGAAACAACCACAACAAATAAAGACACCTTCCCCTCCTCGAGCAGCGCAGGGCAATGGGGGCTGCGCTCAGTCCCTGAGGCTTCGTCCCTGCCGCTCCTTCTCGGTCCCTCTCTGCCCCTGCTCCCCGTGGGCTCCTCTCCATGGCTGCAGCTCCGGCCCGGGGCCTGCTCCTGCGGGGGCTCTCCATGGGCCGCAGCCTCCTCCAGGCCACAGCCACCTGCTCCACCGGGGGCTCCTCCACCCACAGGGGGGCTGCAGCGTGGAGATCTGCTCCATGGGGGACCCATGGGTGCAGGGGGACAGCCTGCTCCACCAGGGGCCTCTCCACAGGCTGAAGGGGAACTGCTGCTGTGAGCCTGGAGCACCTCCTGCCTCCTGCTGCACTCACCTTGGGGCTGCAGGGCTGCTTCTCACTCCTCTCTCCCAGCTGCTGTTGCTCAGCAGGGTTTATTTATTTATTTATTTATTTATTTATTTATTTATTTATTCCTTTTTATTTCCTCCCCCCTTTCTTAACTCTGCTCTCTCAGAACAAACAACGTTTCTTATCGGCTTGGCTCCACCAGTGGCGGGCACAGAGCTGGCTCAGACTGGCCCTTCTCTGCCTTGGGGCAGCCTCTGGGTTCTTCTCCCAGGACCACCCCTGCCCCCCCAGCCCGGCACGGGAAGGCTCGGGGCTGCCCCGCACCCAGCGAGAGACCCCGAGGAGACCCCGAGAGCCTCCGAGGCGCCCGCTCGGCTCCTCCCGCACCCCCTCTGCGCCCCGCGGCCCCCGATCGCGCTCCGAACCCCGGCGAGGCGGCGGCCACGGGGCAGCAGGGCGGGGGCGCCGGGGGTCCTCGGGGCCCTGCGGGATGGGGCGGCCGCAGCAACACCCCCCGGGGCACCTCCGCAGCCCCTGGAAACTGCCAGAGCCGCTCCAGGACACTCACGCCAACACTACCCCAACCATCACCGCCAGCTCTGTCTTTGCACCTGGGAACCAGGGGAGAGCGCGAACGCAGTCCCCCACTACCACAAATTATGCAGTCGAGTTTCCCGCATTTGGGGAAATCGCAGGGGTCAGCACACCCGGAGTGCAGGGGATGAGCCTCGCCCTGGGAAAACCACCTGCCTGATCATGGTGTCTCCCCTGCCAGGTAAGTATGCCCCCACCTCCCCGACCACCCGGCCCCACCACAGCGCACGCACCCCCAGCACACGGACACCAGCCCCCAAAGCCCCCCCCGGGCCCTCCCCACGCCCCCTCCCCGCCCCGAGCTCCGGCCCCGTTCCGAGCCCGCTCCGCGCCCACGGGGGTCTCAAGGGGGGCGCCGCGTGGCGTGGGCTCGGTCCCGGCATGCGGCGCGGCGCCTGGTCTGCATGGACACGCCCCCTGATCTGCATGGACACGCCCCCATGGGCTACATGGACACGCCCCCTCCGGGCGGCACGGACACGCCCGCCTCGCCTCCAGGCCCCGCCCCTCAGGTCCCTGCTCCCCGCGGCCCCGCCCCCGGGCCCGAGCTCCCCGGGCCCGCCGGAGCCTGGCGCTGGGGCTTGCGGAGCCCGGCCCGGGAGCGGCCCGGCCCCGTTGCCCCGGTCCAAGAGCACGGGCCCACACCGGCGTGCGGTTAGCTCTGGTTTTGCGCCAAGGAGATGGAGCTCGTCCTTTGAGGACAGGGCAGGATGAGCCAGGCCTTGGAGATGGCTCAAGGACGATTGACCGAGGCCCTGCTGAGCGGGAAGCGCGGTCTGGGGACGTTCCTGGGGGACGCGTCCCGCTGTTCCCTTGAGTACGTCACAGATCGACACCGTGCGAACGGGGGGCTGAAAACCAAAGGTCTGGAGTACTCTGAGGCCGACTGTCTGCGAGCCCGTCCCGCTCCAACAGCAAAACTCGCACCCCGAGGCTGGGAGAGCCCGTCCCAACGAGGGACCCTTCCTCTCCTCTCCGAGGACGCGCAGAGCGACTCTGTCGTGGCAGCAGCCTGCTATTGATGTAGGCGAGCGGAGGCCAGGGGATGGTGCGGACACGTAACGGTACCGATAAGGGATCGTGCGACGAGCGGCACGGAAAATCCTGCGGTGTGCCAGCTCTGGGGGAAAGCACCCGGTACCTGGGCTTGTGCGGTTCCGAAATAAGCAGCATTGCTGAGGAATGGCTCAAAGAGCGAGGGCACGGCTCCCTAGCGATACAACGGATTATTTGCACCTCGCCGCCAGGACTGGCTGAGCATCTCCAAGACGGTGTCCAGCAGAGCGAAAAGAGACACTCACGGTCTAACACCTGCCTGTAAAGATGATGTTGAGTTATGGTCAGCCACCGCGCGAATATTTGCCTCCTCCTTCACACCAGGGCTGGCAGCCGCGCGGGCGCTGACACAAACAGAAAAGTTGGCGTGCTGGACAGTGAAACGGTTCAACGCAACTACCGCCATCCCCTCTCCAATGGTGGATGATACGGACAGGACAGTCTCCGACACTCAGTGCTGCAGAATCGGGCAGCCACTGACTTTTTGCTGCTGGCCCAAGGACGCTGTTGCGAGGACTTTGAAGGAACGTGCTCTTTTAATTTGTCAGATCACAGTGAGTTGATCCATAAAAGGTTGGATTGGCTCAAAGAACACGTGAATGGAATACGAGGGAATGTTAACCCGTTTGCTACCTGGTTGAAATCCCTGTTTGGTGACCTTTCCCCTTGGCTTGTATCCCTTATTAAGGAGGGTTTGAGATTGCTGCTTATTGTACTGCTGATAATCGTTGTTGTCAAAATAGCTTATTTTGAAATTGTGAATATAATAATATATATATATATATATATATATAGTAGCTTATTTTGTATTGTGGAAGGGGTAACAAAAATGACAAATGGGGCCTTGCTTGTTGTCCTGGTTTCAGTTAGAACAGAGTGAATTTTCTTCCTAGTAGCTGGTAGGACGCTATGTTTTGGCTTAGGATGAGACGAGTGCTGATAACACCTGATAATACCTGAAGAGTGCTGATAACAGTGTTTTAATTGTTGCAGAGTGCTTACACCAAGCCAAGGACTTTTCAGCTTCTTGCTCTGTCCTGCCAACGGGCAGGCTGGGGGTGCAGCAGGAGCTGGGAGGGGACAGACCCGGGACAGGTGACCCAAACTAGCCAAAGGGGTATTCCATCCCATCTGGGGTCATGCTGAACAATATATAGGGGTGGCTAGCCGGGGGAGGGGCACTGGACTGCTCGGGGTTAGGTTGGGCATCGGTCAGCGAGTGGTGTGCAATTGCATTGTGCATCATTTGTTTTGTACACATTATTATTAGTAGTACTATTATCATCATTGTATTATTATTTTTACTGTTGTTATTGTTATTATTGTTATTGATGTTATTTTCCTGTCTTATTAAACTGTCTTTATCTCAACTCATGGGCTTCACCTCCCATTTCTCTCCCCCGTCCCACAGAGGGAGGGGGGAAGGTGAGCGAACGGCTGCGTGGTGTTTAGCTGCCGGCCGGGTTAAACCATGACACTCGTGCAAAAAGAAAAAGGGGGAATTGTTGAAGAATGGCTCAAAGAGCAAGGGCACGTGTCCCTAGAGGAATTGTACAAGCAAGGCAAAGGAAATACAGAGCTTATAGCCATGGAGTAGGCCCGAGGAGAAGCGTTCTTGTGAAAATATCCAAGGAGCAGTCTGTCCTTGAGAGAAACAGGTGGGTCTGAGGCCCGGGAAGGGAAGGGAGTAGCTTATGGGCTGTAACCGCAAGTAGGAGAAACAGTGTTTTTTGCAACACTTTTGGGCTTAGCCAATAGGATAGTGACCGGTAGGCATAATTGTGGCTGTGTGTATAAATACACGGGTATCTGTGCAATAAAGTGGAAGCTCGTGTCACCACTCATATTGAGGCGATCACTTGCTTCCCCGCACCGAAATCGGAGGGTCTCGCACTCGCAGCAGCATCTCGACCTAGCGCGTGGATCGGCGCACCCCACGCCGGGTGACAAATCCGAACTTTTTATCGGACAACGGGGACGGGGAAGGCCCTTCCTGGCCGCAGCCTGGCGCGGGAGGAGGAGAGGGGCAGGGCAGAGCCGGGCAGAAGGACCGCGTGCCCCAGGACAGAGCCGAGCCGAGCCCGGGATGACGCGGGGCGACGCGGCTTCTGCCGCACCACAGAGGTCAGACGCAGCGTTAACACGGGGCCTGCTTTATTAGGGTCCGTGCTGCCGCCCCTACTGCTGATCCACGTTCTTGACGCGCAGGACGACGGGCACCGAGGTGCAGGGGATCATGCCCAGGTCTGTGATGACCAGATCCACCAGGTCGGGCGGTGTCACGTCGTAGACCAGGTTGAGGAGGCGCAAGGACTTGTTCTCTGACCAGCCGCCCAGCTGGGCCTGCCCCTTGCGGAGCACGATCAGGTCGTCGGGGTCATCTGCGGGGAGAGGAGACGCTGCGGGATCGGCGGCAGGGACCGCGCTGCCGCCCGCGACCCCCCGCATCTGCCCCTCCCGGGCCGGGGTCCCCCTCGAGGGTTCAGGGAGAGGACCGGCAGGACGGTTCAGCAAGTCCTGTCCTGGCCAGCAGCAGGAGCAGGGAGCAGATCCCGGGCGGGAAGAAGGGGACAGAAACCATACCCAGCTCGTTGGAGACAAAGGAGTCTGTCTGCACCCGCTCGCAGAACTTGTAGGTCTCGCAGCACACCAGCACGGGCACGTTGTAAGCCTTGGAGACCAGCGCGATCTGGGATGTCCCCACCCGGGACATGACTGAGCCGTTGGCCAGCAGCGCATGGGCTCCTAGCAGCACTTTGGACACCTGTTGGAGCAGCGCAGGCGTGTCAGTATCTTCTGTCACGCTTCAGTCTCATCCCTGGCCTGCCACCGCCCTCAGCACGGCCCCGCTTCACTCCTCACCTCAGGCAGCACGTAGGAAATGGCGTTGATCATCACATAGGTGCAGTGAATGCCCTTGCGCACCAGCCGGCGCAGCGTCTCCCGGCCCTCCAGCCGCGGCCGGCTGTCCACCACGATCACACGGAAAGCGCGGCCCTTCTGCATGTGGGCATCACACAGCGTGCGGTTCACCAGGGACGAGCTGGCAGACACTGGTCAAGGGGCTGCTCCGGGCAGGCCGAGCTTTCCCCGACCCGCGCGGCTGCCCCAGCCCACCCACGCCGAGGCTGCTTGCTGATGGCATCGCCCCAAAATGCAGCCAAGAGGCCCAAGATGTCCCTTGGCGCTGGCTGCAGTGTGGTACCATCAGGTGCCAGCTGGGCAGTTCTGCGTTAGCACGGGGTCCTGCCCCGGGGACAGCCCTACCTAAATGTGTCTGACTCCCAGGGCTGGCTGTAGCACAGTGGGTGCTGCCACACGGGCCTCCAGGCACATCCTGCCCAAAGGAATCCCAGGAGGTGTCTGTGTTACCTGGGGCAAGAGCTGGAATCCCACCGAGTACCTGACGGGCTGGCATTGCCTAGAGATAAGCCTGGGCAGAGCTGCAGCCTGCCCTCACCATTCCCAGTCCCATCCTTCCAGGCACCACCTCACTACACTCCTCGGGCCCCCTCCCTGTCTTCGCACAGAAAATCACCCCCGTGTCTCAGCGCTCTTTGGAAGCAGTGCTGACCTCCCCCTGTCCACAACCACAACAAACGGCTCCCCCTGCACACCCTCTCCAAATGTCCTCGTTATGCACCAGGCCTGCGCTGGAGCCTCCCTCTGCTCCTTCATCTGCCGATCGCCCAGGAAGCGCACACAGACTCTCTTGCCACAGCAGCATCTAGTTCCCTTTTCCACGTTCACTTTCCAGGACATTCTCCCTCTAAGGAGGAACCAGCTTCCTTACTTCTGCTTCCTGACACGACTTTGCTGCAGTCTGTTCAAAATGCCAGTAAACAGCCCAGGCTGCTCTGCAAATGCTCTGTATTTAAGAAATGGCAAATCTGGGTTTCTTGAAACATTTCAGTCTAGACATACATGTGTGCAAGCAGAGGACAGTGCTGAGCCCTGAACAAGAACAGCAAAGGCTCATTAACGAGCTTTCTATAGGAACTTCTCGCAGACCTTTTAGGTCTCGCAGCACCACGGCAGGGGCTGTGCCCGCGGTACCCGGGCTGTGCCCAGCGCGGGGAGGCGGCGCTAGGACCTGCGCACGGGGCAGCCCCGCCCCGCCCCGCTCCCCGTCACGTGCCGGGGGCCGCACGTGGCCGGGCGGTGCCGCCGGCCCGGTGACGCCATCTCCGCGCGCCGCCCGCCGCCATGTTGCGGGTTCCGGGCCCGGCGCCGCGCGGGGCGGGTGGCGGCGGCGGCGCGGCCCGGGCCGGGGCCATGCGGGAGGCGCCGGCCTGAGGCGCTCCCGGAGCTCGGCGCATGGCGTCCCGCGGGGCCGGGGCCGGGGCCGGGGCCGCGGGGCCGGGCGGGGCCGCCCGCGGGCCGCGCTGCCGGGACCGGAGCCGCCGGGGCCGGCCGGGACGGGGAGCGGCGGCCGCCGGGCGGAGCCGGGGCCGCGGCCGGGGCCGCGCGGGTGAGCCCGGGGCCCTCCGGGGGGCGGCGGCGGCGGCGGCGCTGTCCCGCGGCCCGGTGCTGACCCGGCCGTGCCGTTCCGCAGGGGACCCGGCGGCGCCCGCGGAGCCGTCGCCAGGCGGCGGGGAGGGGGCGGCCGCGGCCGAGGCCCGGAGCGACGCCGGCCCCGAGGGCCCCGACGGCAGCGGAGAGACCTCGGGGGGAGCGGGGAACGGCCCCGTGGGCGCCGCGCCCAGGAAGCGGGGCCGCAAGTCCAAGGCGGAGCTGCTGGTGCTGAAACTGTCCCGGGACCTGCCCTGCCCGGCCCCGGAGCCGCTCTGCGTGCAGAAGGCGCTGGACGGCAGCGAGGCCGCCGAGGGCCTGGAGGCCGCCCCCGGCCGGCGCCCCAAGCGGCGGGCAGCCAGAGTGTGAGCGGGGCCGGGGCCGGGCGGGGAACGGGAGGGGAGGGGAGGGGAACGGGAGGGGAGGCTCGGGGCTGCGGGCACAGGGCTCTGTGAGGCCCCTCCTGGTCTGAGGCACCCCAGTGCCGCTCCTGAAGGGTTTGTCCCACAGTTTGTGACAAACTGGTGCCCTGCGGAACCAGCTCCTGCTGTAGGAGAAGGTCCCGGGGCCCAGCAGTGGGGTGTGGAGAGCAGCAAGGGCTGCGGCTGAGCGCGTTGTGTGACAGCAGGGGGCCGCCTGTGGCGGCGCAGAGGTGGTTCCTGGCAGAGCCGGGGGGAGGCTCGTCCATGTGGCAGCCACACGCTGCTCAGCGGGGCCTCTGAGGGCCGGTCGGGCAGTGCAGGCACCCCCTGAGCCGCTGGGTCTGCGGGGCAGAGCTGGGAGCTGCGGTGCCCGACCCCTCACCCCGTGCTGAGGGGCTCCCAGCACCTGCTGCGGCAGCGTGCCCCCGCAGGAACTCCTCTGCTGAGCTCGCAGGAAGCTCTCCGGCTGCCTCACCTTCTGGCTGGCAGCAGGCCAGGCGCGGCTCTGCATGCTGGATGCCTTCCCAGCTGCTCCCGGAGGCCCTGGGGAGGCTGGGGAAGGCCTGGGTGCTGGCCGTGCGGTCCGGGCAGGTGCTGGTGCAGCCTGACTGGGCAGTGCTGGAGCACGCTGTGTGCCCAGGCAGCGCTACAGAGCTGGCAGGGCTGAGTGCAGCTCCCTCTGTTCACTGCTGGGCGATGCCTTCGCTGTTCCAGGGCGTTGCTTTACCTCCAGGAGCTGGCGGAGGAGCTGACATCTGCGTACCAGCCCCCAGCTCCCAATGAGGGTGCCCAAGAGCCAGAGCCTGAGCGTGTCCAGAAGAAGCGTCGGAGGAAAAAGGAGGAGGAGACTGACAGCGATGATCCCGCACAAGACACTGACTTTGTGCCCTCTAAGGAGGTGTTGCTGCAGGCCGAGGAGGAGGAAGGCAGCGATGCTGCGCTCAGCGAGGCGTCAGAGTCGGAGCTGGAGCCGCTCCGGCGGCACAGCACGAGGACGTCATCTGCAGGGGTAAGGGCAGGGTCTTTGCCTTGACTGATTCTTACCTTTGGCGTGCCATAAATGACATGGCGTTTGAGCTGCCGCCTGCTGTGTGTCGTGTGTGCACGTACCCCTGCCCACCCACCCTGTCTATTTGAGGCAGATCAGCCCCAAAGCAGGGTTCTGTCAGGGCTGGCACGGTTCCTGTATGCTGTGAGTCCAGGTGCTGAGCTCCTCGGGCTTACCTGCAGGCAAAGGCAGAGCCTGGGTGGGGACAAGGAGCTGTGCTCCTGGGGGAGCGTGCGGGGTGCCAGGCTGCTGCTGAAGCTGATGGGAGGTTAAGGCAGGGTCCTGGAGGCTGCCCCGTAGGATTTTGTGCCTTTAGCACAGAGCGACACGGTGTTGTGTGACTGCTGCTGTGGAGACTGGGAGAAAGCCCTGTACCTGTGCGCTGTGTCAATGCCTTTTGGGCAGGCTTGGCCCCCAGGGGCTCGCGGGAAGGTTTGGGCAGGCTGGGGCAGCCCGGGTGGGGTCCTCTGGCCAGGTCCTGTGCTGAGTCTGCTCTTGTGCCCAGAGATCCAAGCCCCAGTGCCGAGGCCTTGCTCCCAACGGCTTCCCCAACTCCGTCATGGCCCCGGTGGAGAAGTGCTCCAGCATCACCTGCAGCCTGTGAGTGCAGGGCCTGGGGGCTGGGGGGGGCTGGGCTGGGCTGGCTGTGGTGGGTGGTGGTGTCCGTAGTGGTCGCCATAGGTGCGGGGACGGAGGGTTCCTATCAGGAGCAGCAGTGTGCTGCTGGCACCTGCTGGGGACAGCATGGGAACCTGCTCATCTGGGGCTCATCTCATCCCCACCGCTGTGCAGCCCCTGCCTGGGGCCGTGCGTGGGGCTGTGTGGGGTCTGGATGGAGCTGGGGGGCCCTCAGCAGGGCAGGGGTGTGCCGTGGCCAGGACAGAGCAGGGCACGAGCCCCACGGTGCTGCTGGGGAGCAGGGTGGTGATGCCCGTTACATCCGCTGCAGGCGGGAGCAGAAGTACTCGCGGTGGGAGTTCCCTGACTGGATCCCTCTGGTGCACAAGTGGACGTGTCTCTCCGAAAGGTACCGTCAGCAGGCACAGGGAGGGCGAGGGGCCAGAAGGGACGTGTGGCACAGAAGGGACGCGTGGCACAGGCACTGCCTGCATCAGGCTGCATCCTGGGGTAGTCCTGGCACAATGGGGAGCGGGCTGGGGTGGAGAGGGGAGGATCGACCTTAAGGGCTGTGCTCCTGCCTCCCCCTCTTAAGGCCAGGTCCTAGTAGAGCAGATGGCACCTTCTCACAGGGCCTTGGGGGACTTGTGGCTTTGGCCAAGGAGTCCGAGTGCCCCAGGGAGGCCAGCAGCAGCGCGCTGTGCTGTGGGGGGGGTGGGATGGCTGCAGGCGTCCTCTCACACTCCTCTGCTTCCCCAGCGAAGCTGCCCCGTACCTGCCAGTGGAGGAGAAGTCTCCCCTCTTCACTATCCAGCGGGAGGGCATTGAAGACAACGGTGCCTTGTACAGGCTGAACAGGTTGGTGGAGGGGCTGCTCCGGGGCGGTGGGAGGCGTTATGGTGTCCCCCAGTCCCTGGGCTGCACGGCCGCTGTGTGCCGCGTGCTCTGGGATCCTGCTGTGTCCAGCCCTGTGTCCAGGGCTCTGCGCTGGCTGGGTGCTGCCGTGCCTTGTCCCATGGTGGTGCTGCTCCTGCCCAGCACCCTGACCTGCCCTCCTGCCGGCAGGTTCAACTCCCTGCAGCCCCACGAGGAGCGCCGGGACGTGTCGTTCTTTGTGGGCGGCCCCGTGTGGGCGATGGAGTGGTGCCCGACCCCGGAGGGCTCGGCGGCCCCCCAGTACGTGTGTCTGTACTGTCACAAGAGCATGGATGAGACGCACAGCGTGGCGGGGCTCCACAGGGGCCCGGCGCTGCTGCAGCTCTGGAGCCTGGGCACGCTGCAGCAGGAGGGGTGAGTCCGGTCTGGGGATGGCCCCGAAAGGGAAGAGGTGCGGGTGTGAGCCCCTTGTACCCTTGTGGTGGGGCTGGTGGCAGCCCGCTGCTGTTGGTGGTTTGTCCTCTCCCAGAGGCTGAGCCTCGCAGGGCGGTGCTGGCAGCCAGCTTTGCTTCTGCTGTGTGCTGGAGCTGCTGGGCACCAGCTCCGCTGTTTTTCACCGTTCAACCCGTGCCTGCAGCTCTGCCGACAAAGCCGGGCTGGCCTACGCTGTCGCTACCGACCACGGCTGCGTCTGGGACATGAAGTTCTGCCCCAGCGGTGCCTGGGAGCCGCCCAGCACCTCCAGGAAGGTGGGTGTGTGGTGGGAGAGGCTGTGCCAGCCCTCGGGCTGACTTTGGCTTTGTCCTGGCGACTCTGAATTCCTCGTCCCTGCCAAAGCCTTGCCTTGGCCAGGCAGGATAGCGCAGGGGGCCCCCGCCCCTTTGACAACAGCAAACGTGAGGCTGAGGGCTCGCGCGTGTTTCTGCAGCACCCTCAGATGAGCCGGCTGGGCCTCCTGGCTGTGGCCTTCTCGGACTGGCAGTGTGGTGCTGTACTCCCTCCCGCACCCCAGGCGCCCTGCAGAGCTGCCAGAGAACCCAGGTAAAAGGTAGGAAGAGCTGTGGCACCCTGCCCCTCGTCGCTGCGTGCTGGGGGGGCAGTGCGCGAGCCCTGGGGCCTGCCCTCCCCCGGCACAGGGTGTGTGGGGTGTGTGTGCTGTGCTGGGGGGCGAGCGGGGCGCTGACACCACGGGGTCGTGCCCAGCCCTGCCGGGAGCCGTGCAGGCAGTGGGGGCGGTGAGCAGGGGTGGGGATGGGGCAGTGCTGCGGGATGGGGCCTGCTGGGAGAGGGGAGGGGAGGGGAGAGGGGGCGGCTGCTGCTGTCTGGGGGTCACAGCACGCCCGGGTGCTGCTGACTGGGGGCTCTGGGGGCATTCAGCAGCATCACTGCAGGGCACGGCTGCACCCCTGTGTTCTGAGCCTTCCTGCCTGCCTGCGAGGGGGGGGAGCACGTCCTGCTGGGGCAGAGCTGCGCCTTCCCACCCGGCCGTTTGTCGCGGGGATCCGGGGCTCTGCGCTCCCGTCTGGCACTGCCTAATGGTGCTTGTAATAGCCTCATCTGCTGGGTGCTGAGCGAGATTGATGACCTGTGCGTGCTGCTCGTGGTCGCTCAGCCGTGGCTGACAGCCCATACGTTGGCTGCTGACAGTGGGAAATGGGCTCCCTGCACTGGCGCGTGCCTGCCAGCCCCCAGCAGCGTGCCGTGCTGCGCCGCGCCGCCGCCTGCGCCGTTTGCTGGTGCTGCCTCTCCCAGCCCCCTCCCAGGCCGCTGGTTCCGGACGGTTTGCGCTGGCTGCCGCAGCCCCTGCGTGGGGAGCTTGCAGCAGGCGCGGATCCTTCCCCAGCCTGCAAAGCTCCCGTGGACCAGCTGGGTCCTGTCGTGTCGCATCAGCCAGGCTGCGGCAGCACGGACTGTCCTTGCGCCGCGCGGTCGCGTCGGGGTGCTAGTGGGGATTTGCAGCTGCGGGATCGCTGCCAGGCTGCAGTGTGCTGTGGCTCCCGGCTCAGCACGGCTCTGCTGGGCCCCCCATGTGCCTGCCCCACTGCTTCCACTGCACACCCAGCCCGGGGCTCCTCGCTGCGCTGTGCCCTGGTGTGCTTGCAGTGCCAGAGAAGACGCATGGCTCTCCTGTATCTGCACGGCACCACCTCTGCCTGTGGCTGCCTTGCTCTGAGATGCAGACGTGCCTGGTTCTCTGCTGTGTGCAGAGGGCAGCCCCCCTCTGGAGGTGGGACTCCTTGCCCAGCACTGTCAGGGATGCTCCTGCGGGCAGAACCAGCACCGGGGGTCCTGCGGGCATCTTGTTGTGCACGCACATCGTCTGGGTGCAGGAGTGGGCAGGACAGGGATGGGAGCCCTGGCCAGGGACCTGGGAGCACCAGGCCAGATTTGAGGCTGCGAGCAGCTCCAGCTGGTGGCTGTCCTGACCTTCCTCTGCTCTCTTCTAGATGGGTCCCTCCCCAAGCACGTTATCTGCAAGGTCAGTGTCTGCTGCTGCTGTGCTCCCCTGTTGGGGCTGACACCCAGCGAAGCCTCCTGCCTGGGGCTGGTGGGGAGCTGGGGAGGGCATCAGGAAGCCTGCAGAGCTCGCTGGCCCCAGCGTGTTTGGGGCAGCAGCCTTAGAGCTGCGCTCCCAAACCTGCGTGGCCCTGGCTCTTGGGACAGGTGGTGACAGCACAGGGCTGTGGCTTACGCTTGTCTTTTTGCCTCCAGGTGCAGTGTACCACCACGCTCCAGGTGGGCTCTATCCAGGCGGGGAGCCCATCAGAAAGTGGCCAATGCTTCAGCCTCTCCTGGATGCCATCCAAGCCCCACCACCACCTTGCAGCTGGTTTTTATGATGGTGAGTTCCCCTCTTGCTCAGGGTGGGCTGTGTCCCACGGCAGAGCCTTCAAGGCGCAGCTCTTGCCCTGCAGCAGGCAGTCACGCAGCAAGCTTCGTGCTCCTGCTCCGCACTGCCTCAGGTCCCCCACTGTGGTGCTGTGCATCCTCTGCCCTGTGTCTGGTCACTCCCCTGTGCTGGGGCAGAAGCGGGGCAGCTGTCCTGTGTGCACCCTGCAGGCACCGTGGCCATCTGGAACCTGCTCACCAAGTCCCTGCTGCAGCGTGTGTGCCAGCCCGACGGCTCCCTCAAGCTCTACCCTTTCCAGAGCTTCCTAGCCCACGACCATGCTGTGCGGAGCATCGAGTGGTGCAAAGCCAACAGGTGAGGGCTGGGAAGCTGCTGCTGGGAGCGAGTGCTTCCTGATGGAGCAGGCTCTCTCCTGCCAACGAGTCTGCTGTGCCAAGATGGGTTCCAGCAGACCCAGCACTGGTGGCACTTGGCCCTCCAAGGCACTGAGGCTGGATTGGGGTTCCTGGGGTGAGGGGTGGCTGCACTGCTCCTGTGGGAGCTGTGCTGCAGGAGCGGGGACAAGGCAGAGCTCTGCTCTGGGGTCTCAGTGCTGCCTTTCTCCTGGTTCTCAGCAACTTCCTGGTCACGGCAGGGAATGACAGGAAGATCAAGTTCTGGGACCTGCGGCGGCTCTACGAGCCCATCAACAGCATCAAGCGGTTCCTCAGCACCGAGGTGGCCTGGCTGCTGCCCTACAACGGGGTTACCGTGGCCCAGGACAACTGCTATGCCTCGTGAGTGCTGGGGCCATCACGGTGCCTGCTCTGCAGCTGGGATCTGCTCTCACCTCTGTCTGTCCCCAGCGCGAGGTCCCCTCTGGTCCCTCCCTGCCTGGGAATGTGAGGGCGAGCTCTGCTCACGGAGCATTGCATCGCAGCCACGGTGGTGGTGCAGCTGAGGGCATCTGTCTCTGGGCACAAGCCAGGCTAGCAACGGGGGAAGCAATGCCCTTGGGCAGGGCTGGGAATGGCTCCCAGCCCTGGGGATGTGGCTTGCATCTGGGCTGCTGGGCTCCCTCTCCTTCAGGGTGGCAGCTCAGAGCCGTTCTCCTCATCTCTTCCTTTCTGTTGCAGTTACGGTCTCTGTGGGATCCACTACATTGATGCCGGGTACCTGGGCTTCAAGGCTTATTTTGTGGCCCCTCGCAAGGGGACTGTGTGGGTAAGAGGCATCAGAGCCGTCTGGGGGTCAGGGGCCTGCCGCAGGCCCTGTGCCTGGGCTGTGCCCTAGCCCCGTCTCCTCCTGCAGAGCATTTCTGGCTCGGACTGGCTGAACACGGTGGCTGCTGGAGACATCACCGGCGAGCTGGTGGCTGCGGTGCTGCCCGACCTGGCCATCAATCCCCTCAACGTCAAGCGCTCGTCGGACCGCAGATTTGTAAGCGGCCGTTGCGTTGTCCGAGCAGTGCCTGTGTGTGCGCCGGGCTGGGCTGGGCGGTGCTGCTGGGCTGCTGGGTGGGTGCTGACACCCGGCCCTTGCTGGGGGTCCTACGTCTGGGCACGGGCACCAGGACATTCCGGGACGGGCTTGTGCATGGGGAATGCCTTCCCCTCTGTCCCCTCTCTGTCCCCTGACCTCATGGCAAGGTCCCTGCAGCCCCGGTGCTGTCCCTGGTGCTGCGGCCACCCGAGGGGCACGGACAGACCCACTGCCCTGCCCTCAGCTGCATCTCCCCCACAGCCAGTCTACAAAGCTGATCTGCTGCCCTGCGGCCCCACAGGACCAGAGAACTGGTGAGCAGGCACTGCCGAAGACCAGGCTCTACAGCGAGATGGTGGCGAAGGCCTACATTCGGTTTCGGGACACGGACCTGGTATGAGGGCAGGGGATGGAGTGCTCCTGACCAGGAGCAGGACTGGTGGCAGCCTCGGGGCATGGGGCAGGGGGAGAGCCCAGTCAGCTGGGCTGTGGCTGGGTGTGTGGGGACAGCAGTGCATAGGGAAGTGGCACAGACCACGCGGCAGCCCTTCACCCAGCACAGCCTGACTTCAGCAGCCCCCCCCAGAGATCAAGGGGATGCTCTGCTCTGTGCCCAGGGAGCACAGCAGGGTCTGCCTGGCTGGGCAGCCCCAGCAGTGAGCCCTGTGCCTGGTCCTGAGCAGGGCTGAGGACACGAGCCCAGGGCAGGATGAAGCTCTGGGTGTGCTGGGTACAAGGCAGCAATTTGGGTCCCCCAGCCCTGGGAAAGAGCCTGGGGCTTGCAGCCTGCCTTGGGCCTGTACTTGCCGTGCCAGGCTGTCCTTGGAGCCCTTCGTGAGGGGTCTCAGGAAAAGGCTGCTTGCCCAGGGCCCCAGGGATGGGGAGCATCCAAGCTGCCAGCCCCGGAGCAGGGCATGGCTGAGGGGGACCTCCCTGCTCCCGTCACTCCCTGGGGGGGTGGCTTGTGCTGCCCCGTGGCCGTGCTGCCCTTTGCAGCAGGCTCAGTCCCCTGGCCAAGCTGTGCCTACCACTCCTGTGTGTGCAGCCCCTCGTGCTGTGCCACCCCTCGTGCTGTGCCGCCCCTCACCGTGCTGCCCTTTCACAGCGCAGCTTCAAGAACTTCTCGAGCCGGGAGCCCATGCGCAGGATGCACACGCAGGAGGTGAAGGCAGAGCTGAGCCTCGACCGCCTGCAGCTGGAGTCCCTGCACAAGGTGAGGCAGCTGCTCCGAGCCATCAGCACTCCGGGAGAGCAGAGGCTGCCACGTGCTGCCCCTGGGGGCCGGGGTCTTGGTGCCTCGGCCCCATCCCTCCTGACCCCCTTCTCCTCCCACAGGTGCGCTTCAGCCCCAACCTGGACTCACAGGGCTGGCTGCTGTCCGGCGGGCAGGCTGGCATCGTGCGGGCGCACTGCGTGGCGGGGCTGGCGTCTGGCACAGACCAGCAGCTGCTGCCGCAGTGCCGTGCCCGCTTCAGCTCGCTGTACGGGGCTGAGCCCTGCAGCCCCGGCCCCCCCGCAGCCTCCCCCCTGCCAGCCGAGTAGCGGGGGGCCCCTCGCTGCCACCGCCTGCGTTCGCCCACAGCAGCAGCTCCAGCGTCTGCGCTGCTGGGTGCCAGGGGCTGTGCGCCCCTCTTGGTGCTTCTTACCCGGGGCCTGCCCTGGGGAGGGATGGTTGCTCCTGGCTGTCACCCGGGATGCTCAGGACGCTCGTCCTCGTGCTCTGGGCCCTGAAGGGTCCTTTCTGCGCTCTTTGGTTTGAGCTGGTGCGGGGAGGGCAGTGGGACTGGGGTCGTGTCTATGGCTTGAGCTGCGGGTCTCAGGGTCTGATGCAGGGGAAGAGCTACGGAGACGCATGTGGGGCTGTGCTTGCGCTCGCCTGCCCCCCTCCCGTTGCTGGCAGACCCCACAGTGCGGGTCCTGGTGGGGGGGACCGGGCTGGCCTTGCCCTGCGTGGGGCAGATGTGGCTTGCAGCAGCGCCGGGAGCTCTGGAATCGCTCACATTGAGCCTGTGTTCTCAGCGGTGCAGTAAATGTGGTTTGTTTTTTATGGGGTGCTGGTGGTGCTAGCGTGGGGGGAGGCCTGGGGCGCGGCGCTGTCAGAGCCCTCCCCGCTCCCCTCCGTGCGGATGCCTCGGCTGCTCTCTGACACATTTATTGGTGGCCACGAGCTGCACAGCCACCCGCTGGAGTCCTTGCACAATGAGACACAGACACGCCACAGGTGCACCAGACAGACTCACGAAGCTGGGAATGGGTCAGGCCAAGGCACGGCAGCACCCAGCCCCCGCCTGGGCCTCACAGCTGGGAGCAAAACCAGGGCACCCAGAGCTCGGGGCGAGCTCCGTCCCCTTGCTCCAGCGTGGATGCAGCGGGGAGGGAGGGGACAGACAGAGCCCCCAACACAGCAGCAAGCACAGGCCCCTGGGCACTGGGCCTGGGGCAGTGCTCCTGCCTGGCGCATGGTCCCCGTGCCCAGGGCTGTGCCGGGTTTGGCCCCTGGCATTGCAGAGCAGCACCGGAGGCTCCCCGGGGCACCGCAGCGCTGTGCTGCAAGGGCCGGGTGCTGTGCCCCACGCTGAGCAGGGCTGGGGCCCATGGGGTCTATGGAAGTGGACACGGTGCAGCACCAGGGCAGGACTCCAGGCACTGCACCCGCCCTACGGTGCCCCCATCCCACAGTGGGCAAAGGGCTCAGGCCCGGGGGTCCTGGCAGTGCGGGCAGCCCAACGCCTCCTCCTGGTACCGCTCCACCTGCACCGTACACGACACGAAGCCGAATTTGCTCTGCAGCTGGCTGGTGGCTTCCCGCAGCACCGTCTCAGGGTTGGCGCTGGTGTCTGGAGGTGGCAGGGACCCACGATCAGCCCCAGCCCAGCCCAGCCCTTGGGGCTGTGCGAGCCAGCGCAGGGCACTCACCCACGGCCACGTGCACGGACACCACGGGGTGGCTCAGTGTCAGCGCCCAGATGTGCAGGTCGTGGGTGCCCCTCACCCCGCTCACTGCCAGCAGCACCTCCTTCACTGCGTCGAACTCGATGCCCCGCGGTGCCCCTGCCAGTGGGGCCAGTCATGGAGGGGCCGGCCCCAGCCCTACTCCCCAGCTGGGGTCAGGGTTCCTGGGGCCTGGGGGGCAGCTGGGAGTGGGGACACCCCCAGTCTGGGACCAGGCTGCGGCACAGTGCCTCTGGGGTGAGGCAGCTGCTCCCCATGTGGCAGAGAAGGGTCTGGGGGGGCTCAGAGGGGCCAGAATGCTGGGGGTGGGCTGGGTAGGGAGCAGAGGTTGCTGTGGGGTGGGCTGCTCTGTGCTCCCTAAGCAGCCCCTGCACCCCCTTCCCTGTCCCCCCCTCACCTTCCATGAGCACTCTGAAGACGTCTCTGAGGATAGTGAGGGTGGAGCCAAGGACGAAGACCGAGAAGAAGAGGGTACTGATGGGGTCTGCGATCTTGCACTGGGGCTGCAAAGAGCAGGGGCTGCATGAGGCTGCGGGCAGGAAGCACCAGCAAGTGGGGACCCAGTGCCCCCCAGTGCCCCCCAGTGCCCCCCAGTGCCCGGTGGAGGACAGGAGCCCAGCCCACGCAGGGACCACGCACCTTGAAGTAGATGATGGTGGCGGCCACCAGGACACCAATGCTCTGCAGCAGGTCGCCCACCACGTGGACGAAGGCTGCACGGACGCTGGTGCTGCCAGGCAGGGGGGCATGGCCGGGCAGGCAGCCCCCCGCGCTCTCCAGCTGCTCATAGCCCCCCACACCGTGGCCGTGGATGGCGGGGGCCTGGTGCAGGATGTATGCCATGCTGCGGGGAGCAGAGCAGGCTCAGGGCTGGGCAGGGAGCGAGAGGCCCCGCTGACCCTACCGGGGTGGGGGAGAGAGCACAGCCAGGGCTCAGCAGGGACAGCACAGCCACTGTACAGGGGTTCAGGGCAGGACGGGGATTTGGGAGATTTGGGACTGGGGCACGAGGGCAGGGCTGAGGGGAAATGCTGCTGGGGGGGGGGGCAGGGGATGTATGTGGGGGTGGGGAGCGGGGTCAGGGAGTAGGAGGAGGCAGCACTGGGGAGAGGGGACCGAGGGACCGAAGGGGGGGCTGGGGCTGGGGGTTTGGGACACCAGGTGCACGCATGGGGCAGGGCTCAGGCCAGGGCTGTGTGGGGACAGAGGAGGCAGGGATGAGGCTGCGTGGGACATACACCAGGTTGACACCCACGGCGCTGGCAGACGTGGCCAGCATGGCTCGTGCCTCGATCTCGTAGTCGTTGCTGATGATGCGTGCAGCCGCCAGGTAGACGAGGGCCCCGGTGACAACCCAGATGGAGAGGACGGAGGCCAGCGCACCCAGCGTCTCTGCGGGGTGGGGGCCATCAGTGCCTGCCCCAGCCACGGGGCTCCCCCAGTGCTGAGCCCCCCGCCTCACCTGAGCGGTGCCAGCCAAAACTCATGGTCTTGGTGGGCGGGCGGGCGGAGACCCAAAGCGAGAAGAGGCTCACGGACATGCTGCCCACGTCCGTCAGCAGGTGGGCTGCGTCCGTCATGATGGCCAGGCTGTGCGCCAGGTACCCACCTGCGGGACGGCACAGCTGGTGGCTGGGGCCCGGGGGGTGTCCCGGTCCCATCCCAGCCCCATCCCGGTCCCATCCCAGCCCCATCCCGGTCCCATCCCGGCCCCATCCCAGCCCCATCCCAGCCCCGTCCCGGCCCTGTCCCCCCATTACCTATCACCTCTCCAACCATGAAGACGCAGCACACGGTGCAGGCGATGCTCAGCTGCCGCCGGGCTTGGAGCCTCTCCGGGCCGGGGCTGGGGCCGGGGCCGGGGGGAGCCGGGCTGCAGGGGCACTGCGGGGCCCCCCCCGGCTCCGGGGCCGCGTCCTGCCCGCCCTCCCCGGGGCGCAGCGGTGCCGGGGCGTCCCGGGAGCCTGCGAACAGCCTGGGGGGGAAGGGGGTCAGAGCCGTGCCCGGGAGGGGGCTCCCGGCGCCCCCGTCCCTTGCGGGGCACGCGTCCCTCCGGTGCCCGGTCTCGGGGCCGGCCCCGCCGCAGCCGGTAGCGAAGCCGGCGGAGGCGGACCCCGGGGGCTGCGCCCTCGCCCCGGGGCTCCGTGCACGAACGCGCCGAGAAACCGGGAGGAAGGACGGGGGCTCCGGGAGGGCACGGGGCACTCGAGCACCTCGGCGGAGGGCGGCGCGGGGCTGCCGGCGGGACCGGATGGTGCCCGGGGGCCGGTCCGCCCCCGCCCCGTCCCCGCACGGCCGGGGCTGCCCGCGTCGGGCCGGGGGAAGGCTGGACGGGGGCGGCGGCGGGTGCGGGAGACAGCGCTTCCATCCCGGGGCCGGGGCTGGGGGGCTCGAGGTGTCGCTGCCGGTGCAGGGCCGTGACGGACGGGCGGGCGTCGGTGCGGGGCGGGGGGTGCACGGGGTGCCGGGGACAGGGCTCAAAGCGCTGATGCGCGGGGTACCCGTGAGGGCAGAGGGGGGACGGGGCGCGGGTGCAGGTACGGGGGACGATGGACGGACGAGCATCGGGGCGGGGGTGGCAGCCGGGCGCCGGTGTCGGCTGGACACCCGCGGGGATGGCGCACAGGTGGGGGGGGACGGTTCCGGTTGGAAGGAGGCGACGGCACCGGGAAGGCGACGCGTGCAGGTCTGAGGGGCTGAGGACGCCGCCGCGGGCTGGGCGGCGATGCCGGTGCTGGCTGGGGGCCGGCCGGGGGCTGCGGAGGTGCCGGTGACAGCCAGATGGATGAGGGCGCGGGGGCGGGGGGCGCCGGACGGGCCGGGGGCTTGCGGATCCCGGGAGCGCGGGGGGTGGCAACGTCGGGGGGAGCCGGGGTCGGGGGCTACGGTGCCGGGGAAGCCGGGGGCTCGGGGCGCCGGGGGTGATGGAGATGCGGGGGATGACGGAGGTGCCCGGGGTGAGGGGGGAGCGGGTGTCGGGGGATCGAGGGCTGCGGATGCGGAGGGTGATGCGGGTGGGGTGCGGGGGCGGTGGAGCCGGGGGTGCCGGGGGTACCGGGGGTATCGGGGGCACTGGGAGGTGGCGCTAGCGGGGGGCGGAGGGGGCGGCTGTGCCGGGGGTGCCGGGGGCGCCGGTGCCGGCGGCATTGCGGGCTGGGGTACCGGGGGTGCCGGAGGCGTCGGCAGCGGCGGGGGCGCCGGTAATGGGGGCACCGGTGATGGGGACACCGGTGATGGGGGTACCGGTGCCGGGGGTACCGGTGCCGGGGGTGATGGAGGTGCCGGTGCCGGGGTGCCGGCGGTACCTCTTGAGGCGCAGGCTGCCGTCGGTGCGGCCGCCTCGCGGGCTGACCAGGCGGGCGCTCTCGCTGCCGGACGGGGCCGGGGGCTCCATGGCGGGGCGCGGGCAGCACCGCGGGCAGCGCGCCGGGACGGCACAGGCCCCGCCCCCCGGAGAGGCCCCGCCCCCTTGATGAGGCCCCGCCCCCTGAGCTCGGCCGGTCCGAATGGAGCCGCCGCCAGGCCCCGCCCCCGCCCCGCCCCTCCCTCGGCGCGCGCCGAGCCTCCGGGGGGGCCCCGCGCTCGCTCCCGCCCCGGAGCCGCGGAGCTGGGAACGGGGCCGGGGCCGGGACAGCCCCGCAGGGCTCGCGTCGGGAGCGGCTGCTGGCGGGGGCCGTGTGCTCGCAGGTTCCCGCGGCACGGGGGCCGCCAGCCGGCCGTGAACGCGCGCCCCCCTTGGAGTTACCAAAGTCTGGGGACGCCCGGGGCACCGGGACACCTGCGGGGGGGGCGGCGGGGAGCCCCGACCCTGCCTCCGCCCGCACCCGGCACCCCCGCGCCGCCCGGGGCTCGGCACCGGCTGCCCGTGGGAGCGCGGGGAGCGCTGGTTCACTCCTCCGGGGGCTGCTCGGGAACGGGGCTGGGGTGCGGGGAGCGCTCTGCACGGGGGGGCTGCTGGGCACGGGGGGGCTGCGAGGGGCGTGGGAGCCGTTCCCGTAAGGGGGCTGTTTGGGTGCGGGGGGAGTAAGCCTCATCTCCATCCCTGGGAAAGGGATGAAGCAGCTGATCCTGGGAATTATTTCCAGGCAAGTAAAGGAGAAGCTGATTGCCGGGAGCAGTCAGCATGGGTTTGTCAAGGGGAAGTCATGCCAGGCCAACCTGGCGAGCTTCTATGGCAAAATGACCGGTCTGATGGATAGGGCAGGGAGCAGCAGGTGCTGTCCTCCTGGGTTTTGGTAAGGCCTTTGCTGCCATCTCCCAGGAGATTCTCATAGTGAAGCTGGGCAGTATGGGCTGCATGTACAGACAGTGAGGTGGGGTGAAAATTGCCTGAACAGCCTGGGCCAGAGGGTGGTGATCAGCGGCACAAAGTCCAGTTTGAGGCCAGTAACAAGATGGATAACTGGGGGGTCAGTGCTAGGTCCAGTCTTGTTGAGCATCTTCATTAGCAATCCGCATGATGCAGCAGCATCCCCTTGGTCTGCAGATGACCAAACTCAGGAGGGGCTGATAAACCAGGGGCTGTGCTGCTACAGAGAGACCTGGACGTGTTGGAGAGCGGGGCTGGCAGGGACCTGCTGCAGCTCCACAAGGAGAGCTGCAAGGCCTGGCCCCTGGGGAGGAATGAGCCCAGCACCGGGACAGGCCGGGGGCACCCAGCTTGGAAGCAGCCGGGCACAGAAGGACCTGGGGTCCCGGTGGGCACCGCAGTGAGGGGGAGCCAGCAAAGGGCAGAGAGGGCTGGAGGTGTCCTGGTGGTGCTGGGACAGCCGAGGGGGGATCCTGCCCCTCTGCTGGGGAGCCCTGGGGGGTCCTGGGGGGTCCTGGGACCCCAGGCCCAGAGCCCCCGTGCTGTGAGGAGAGGCTGCGAGAGCTGGGGCTGCTGGGCCTGGAGCAGAGGAGGCTCCGGGGGAGCTCCCCCATGGCCGTCAGTACCCGCAGGGAGGTGCGGAGAGGCCGGAGCCGGGCTCTGCTCAGCGCTGCCCAGGGCCAGGCCCAGAGGCCCCGGGCCCACGGGAGCCGCCGCCGCCGGCGGCCGGGCCGGGAGGGGCGGGGCCGGGGCGGGGCGGGGCCGGGGCGCGGGGGCCGCCGGGAGCCGCGTGCCCGCCCCGCCCCGCCCCGTCCCGGCAGCCCCCGCGGCGGGCAGATGGCGGCGGCGGGCGCTGAGGAGCGGCGCGGGGCGTGGGGCGCGGCGGGGCCTGAGCGCGGCCCCGGCCCCGGCCCCGGCCCCGGCCCCGGCCCCGGCCCCGGCCCCGGCCCCGTGCCGCTGGGCTCGCTGCTCAGCCGCCTGCCGCTGTCGGCGCCCCCGCCGCGCCGCCGGACCGCCAGCCAGTGCAAGCCGGAGCCGCCGCTGCTGCGCACCAGCAAGAGAACCATCTACACCGCCGGGAGGCCGCCATGGTACAGCGAGACCGGCGCGCCCGTGGACGAGGCCTTCGTCATCGGTGGGCCGCGGGGCCGGGCCGGGGGGGAGGGAGGGGGGCGGGTGGGGGCCGGGGCCGCGCTCACGGTGCCCGCTCCCCCCAGGGCTGTGCGGCGGCAGCGCCTCGGGCAAGACGACGGTGGCGACGCGGATCATCGAGGCGCTGGACGTGCCCTGGGTCGTGCTGCTCTCCATGGACTCCTTCTACAAGGTGAGCGCGGCACGGTGTGACACGGCACAGCACGGTGTGACACGGCACAGCATGGCACAGCGCGGTGCTGAGTGGTGCCGGTGCCCGCAGGTGCTGGACGAGGGGCAGCAGGCGCTGGCGGCCCGCAGCGACTACAACTTCGACCACCCCGATGCCTTCGACTTCGAGCTGCTCGTCAGCGTCCTCCGCAAGCTCAAGAAGGGCAAGAGCGTGAAGGTGCCCGTGTACGACTTCACCACGCACAGCCGGCGCCGCGAGTGGGTGGGTGCCGTGGGCACAACCAGGGGTGTATGGGGCAGCTGGGGGCACGGGGAGGGATCAGCTGGGGACAGCAGGCACAGGGGGGGTGTTGCTCCATGGGGTGTGGATGGGGGCCGAGGGGGAGCGTGGAGATGCTGGGGTGGGCATGGGACCAGGGAGCACCGTGGGGAGAGCCCTCAGTGTAAGTGTGGGCAGGACAGGAGCTAGGAGAGGGATCAGGCAGAGGTTGGGGCTTCTGCAGCAAGGACTAGGGGTGATGATAACGGTCCTCAGGGGTTGGGGGATGTAGGACAGCTCGGGCAGTGAGCACCCGGTGCGGGTCTGGGTTGATGTGCTGTCCATGCTGAGCATTGGCTGGTGCAATGTGTGAGGGGGGCAGGGTGACTGTAACGCCTGTTTCTCCCTAGAAAACCGTGTACGGGGCAAACGTCATCGTCTTCGAAGGCATCCTGGCTTTTGCAAACAAGGAGCTGCTGAAGGTATTGCTGCCTGATGCGGCTGGCCTCCCGCTGCAGGGCGCAGCACAGGGGCAGGCATGCAGCAGGGTGCTGCACGGGGGGTGGGCACGGTGCTGGGCTCCGGGGGGCTCTCCAGGGAGGGGTCACCCACTGCTTGCCGGCACAGCCCCTCTGTGCTGGAGGTGCTGGGGAGGCAGCGCTGGGCGCTGCTGCTGCGAGGGGGGACACAGCTGGCCAGGCTGTGCAAGGGGGAGCACGTGGGGGGTGCCGAGGGGGTGTTCACTCCTCCCAGTTTTCCAGCTCCTGGACATGAAGGTGTTTGTGGACACGGACTCTGACATCCGGCTGGTGCGGCGCCTGCAGCGCGACATCATGGAACGGGGGCGCGACATCGTGGGTGTCATCAAGCAATACAACAAGTTTGTGAAGCCGGCCTTCGAGCAGTACATCGAGCCGACCGTGCAGGTTGCGGACATCGTGGTGCCCAGGGGTGAGATGCGCCACGTTGGCTAGAGCTGGCCGCAGGGCTGGGTTGGTGTCCTGACCCCTCTTCTCCGTTCTCCTGCCAGGTGGGGAGAACTTTGTGGCCCTGGACCTCATTGTGCAGCACGTGCACAGCCAGCTGGAGAAGGTGAGGGAGAGACTGATCGAGTGCTGAGAGCCTGGGGGAGGAAAAGAGAGACTGCATACAGGAGGGAGGGTGGGGCTGCCACAGCCCTGTGCTCTGTGGGTCTCAAAGTCGCCTCTTTACACGGCTCAGGGCAGACTGAGTTGCGGGGGGGGGCTGGGACGTGGAGATGGGACAGGCACAGCACTCACGCTCTGGCCTCACTCTCCTGCCGTACCCCTGGTCCCAACTGGCTGCTCCTGATTTCACCCACTGCCACCTCTCTTGTCCCTGGCATCACCCAACACTCCAGCCTTGTCTCCTGCATGTACCCAGTGGGGTTCTGCACCCAGCCTCAGGAGAAGGGGTGGGAGCTGGGCTGGGGCTGCCGGGGGCTGTGCCTGGCTGTTGCAGTGACCGGACGTCCTTTCTTTCCCCTTTTGCTGTGCTGAACCACTCTGCTGTGCCACCCAGCGTGAGATCACTGTCAGGTACGTCGGGGACCCTGCTGGCTGGGAGCGGCCGGTTCCAGGCTGGGGGTGAATGGCTGCCAGCGCCTGTTCTGTGTCTGCTGCCTCTTCTCTGTCCCTCCTGGCTGAGGTTCTGCCGGGATGTCTGAGCGTAGCTGCTCTTCCTCAGCCTCAGAGGTGGCTGCAGTGCGTGCAGCTTGTTTGGAGCTGGCTTGCTCTGGCTGCAGGCTCCTACACAGCCTGTCCCACAGCAGCCATGCTTGGTTTGTGTGACTGGCTCCCTGCACTGCTCCTGGCCCTCTCCAGAGCACGGCTCTTGCCCTGAATGTTGGAGGCTGCCCCATTCTATGGGAGCAGTGCCCTGGACAGTCTCTAGGATGTGACG